CCATTTCCCTATTTAAAATATAATTATTACCACTTGTTAAGTTTATGTTTTTTTGTTTTGTTTTACTACTTAGGAAAATAATAAAATTGAATATAAAAACTGACAACTCCGGCTGCACTGCAGTTACTCGAACTTGCTGGATGTTATGCTACAGAAGAAATAGAGATATTTTCTCTGCTTTGCTCTACTGTTTCAAATAAAGCATATTGAACAATAATTATTCTTCTGTTAGCTTCATGAGACGGCTTTTTAATACAAATGTTCAGAAATTCCAAAAAAACATTACTTTTCAAAATGCATGAAAAGCACTTGATTAAAAAAAAAAAACCAAATGTTACATGTCATTGACAGTCAACAATATGCCATGAGCATCATAGTCATACTTACCAATCAGCAAAGCAAACTGGTTGAAATACTGCACCAAGGCTCACTGTTAATGATAAGTAAGGCACCACGTTTTAAAGCATCATCTCAGATATCATGTCTAAAGCAAAAAGGAACACTACTGAAGATCCAACGCATGTTGGCATAAAGGTCCCATCGGGCTGAACTTTACACATGAGAACCGACCCTGACACCAGTGCGGGCAGAAGATGTTCAGTGTGGTGGCCAGGGTGGGATCCGAGGTCATTTGGGCGGCATGTGAATAAAAGGCATCTAGAAAATAAGTGAATATTTAAGGTACCCGAACACTAAAACTCAGCGTTGTTTATAATTCAGGCAGTGGTGGAATTAACAAATACATTTAAGGTATCAATTTCTTGCAGTTAAGCTAAGAACCTTACACTAAGTAGAAGATTCCTGAACTTCTGCATTACTGCAGTTCTGAGAGCACAAGTTTAGCTCAGCAACATTGTGAGCTCATTCTTTATCAGTATATCAATCAGGGGCACAGAGATACAGATACACAATAAAAGGAGTTTTTTTTTAATTAAAGACTGATTTAACTACAAAAATGCAAATAAGATGAGGGTGGCCAGTTGGGTGGTCAGGCTTCACCCCTTGCTACCCCCCGATACGCATATGCCTGACAAGTTCTGAGATTCTACTATATAAATTAGCTTTTATTCACTGTTGATATTCATTACCAGCGTATTTAACAATTACGGTTTGGGAATACATAGAAATGAAAATAATGCAGTCAGGCATGAATTGCAGTCATGTTAATTAAATTTGTCCCAGCTAAGATCGTAAACGTGCAGAATGAACAAAATTAATTTAAGCACATTCAAATCAGTATCATGTATCAAGAAAATAATAACTGAAGAGCAAATTTCGAGAACTCAGTACATTTTTGTTGTTTTTAAGATGAAGCCACCAATCGCCTAAAATCAGGTTTCCCCGTTGTATGATGAAGAATTGGGGAACAAAATAACTCAATCGTCAAATAACCCAAAAAATAAAATTAATGACTTTTTCAAAATTCATTTAGCCAGGAAATGATTCCTGAAAAAATCATTCCAAGGAATTAGTGACTTTTGGAAATATGCTCTTCAATTAATAACACTTGGCTAGTAAATTGGCTTAAAAAATAAGAGAAAAAAGAAAAGGAAGGTTTATATGTAAAACTACCTACAGGCAATCTTAGATACATTGTGGCCTTACCTTCTCACGGGTCGGCAGTGTTTGGTTTCGTTTCAAAGAATCAGCCCCATTAATACTGATCAGTTCGGCATCTGCAGGCGGAAACGGCGCTGGGAAAACCACTACGTCACTCTTCAGTGTGTCTGAGCTAAAACACACGTCATACTGCTGGGTGGATTTAGAGTAAGACCAGCTCCCGTCGGG